CGGAATACTTCATGAGGGTGATTGCTTGCTTGCTTGCTGGAAGTTCGGTGTGGTCTACGATCAATGGAGCTTGCCACGTAGGCGGAGAGTGTACAGGGATTTGTTGGCCGAGGATCACGTGTGTGGATATTGGGCTTCGGAGAGAATTTTATGCGTCAAAGATAGCCTTTGTCCGGCCGGGCCCGGCCCGGCCCGGGCCAAGCAAAACTGGTGCCGGTGTCCAGGCCTGAACGGTCCGGTCCAATTTTTTATTTTTTTATTTTTAATTTTCAAGAATACATACCAAAAACTTTAAAAAAATTGATAAAAAATAATCATATTATTAATCACTTGTAATTATATAATTTACAAATACAAAATATCATAAATATTAAAATGATAAAAAATAAAATTTTTATTAATAATCAGGGGTTGTTTGGTTGTTGGTAAAATTGTGTATTTATGACACAACTTTGAAAGTTGTTGTCCATCTCATCAATTTCACTTGTATATTTTTTCTTTGTTTGTTTTTTATTCCATTGGAATCATAAATTGCTTGTTTGGTTTGGAAATGTAACTTTAATTGTTTGTTTGGAAAGTGTAAAAAGTGGTCCCTACTCAAATGATCATATTGGTTGGAATTATTTTTTATTATTTTTTTCTGACTTTAATGTCAGATTTCTTCTAAAATCATGTTTTTTTTATGAAATCACTTTACAAGCCACATCAGCATATGAAACCACTTTACATTATTTTCACAACTACAAACAAACAATTGAAAGCGATGAAAGCTGACATTGGGACCCACTTTTTTACACTTTCCATCCTTTTACATGGTAAAAACATACAACCAAATAGCCCCTCAGTTAATCATATGAGAAACCATAATTTAACAATTAACTAAAAATATCTACATATGGAAAAAAAACCATAATTTAACAATTAACTAAAAATCTCTACCTATGAAAATGACCGGGCCAACTAGGTCATTTTTATTTTTTTTATTTTTTGTGTGAAATATTACTAAAAATGATTAATCTTATTATTTTTATATAAGTATGTATTAGTATATACTTACAAGTTATTATATAACTATATATTATATATACATATATTATATGTAAATATATTGTATATACTTATAAGTTATAACTTTAGAGAGAGAGAGAGAATCACATAAGTATATATTACTTATTTATAAATATGTATTATATAGTTATACATGTATTTGTTACCTACTTACATTATGCTTATTTAAGTACAGTTGTACATTTTACTTATATGATATACTTATATATATACTAGATGCAATATACTTATATATTATTATACTTATGCACTTATATAATATACTTATATAACTACAATTCTATAATATACACATATAAGTATACTTATAACTTATATATATATATATATATATACACACACACACACACACACACATGTATTACATATATTGTACATACTTATAAATTATAGCATGAGAGAGAGAGAACCACATAAATATATATTACGTATTTATAAATACATATTATATAGTTATATATGTATTTGTTACATACTTACATTATGTTTATTTAAGTATAGTTATATAGTTTACTTATATGATATACTTTAGTTTTATATATACTAGATACAATATGCTTCTATATAATCATACTTATACACTTATATATACTTATATAACTGTAATTCTATAATATACACATATGAGTATACTTATAACTACATTATATATTTATATTGTTATATCTTAGTATCTATATCTATATCATGCTAAGTGTGTGTGTGTGTCCAACTATATATTATATATACATATATTATATGTAAATATATTGTATATACATAATATACTTATAAGTTATAACTTGAGAGAGAGAGAAAGAGAGAGAGAGAGAGAATCACATAAATATATATTATATATGTATTTATTACATACTTACATTATGCTTATTTAAGTATAGTTATACAGTTTACTTATATGATATACTTTTATATATATTAGATGCAATATACTTGGCTGTGCACTGGTCCGGGCCCGGCCGGGCCTTGAGCCCGAATGGATAGCCCTAGTCAAAGATACTTATGGGTCCAAGCTACCTATTTAGAGTTAAAAAGTAGCTCAACTAGACGGAAAAAGATTTAATAATGTTGATTATGAGGGGTTTTAGCATTCAGTCAATACAAAACTATTGTCTACATTCTTCTTAAATTCGATTATGATTATAGAAAATAATTTAATATTATACTAGCTTCTATTTTTTATATAAAATAAATCAACAATTTTCATATAATTTATAAATAATGGTGACGATGAAGATATTGTTCTGTTTTTGACAAAAATGTTCTTTAAAACGACAAGCCATAATATTTATAAATCTCTATCTTCTCACTTAAAGTATGATTTTCCCCTTTTATTAATTGAGATAAACATTTTTTGGATGCCATTTTCAGTGTTACCAAAATAATATTTGCCTCTGAGGTAAGACTATATTTTTTTTCTCATAAACTAAAACATAGAACTAATTTGATTTGATTATAAAGAGGAGAAATGTTTTCCCTTTTTGACAAAATATGGATGCATTTTCTTACAAAGATACAACATGCAAATAATACGTATACAATCTTATACATATGCGTTCACATTATATCTCATTGTGTAAGGAAGTTGTCTTGTATCTATTCAATTGTGTGGAGTTTGATTTTTAAAAAGGGCATGGAGTAGGATTTAGTCCTCCACGGATAGAGAGTAAGATGTGTTAAACCCTAGAGGGGGGTGATTAGGGTCTTATGCTAATCTAATCCGATTAAATGCCAATTAAAATTAATTAACAAGTTATCCTAGCAAATATGAAATACCACAAGATATATAAGCTAGGATAAGCAATGCAAACAAAAAGATATATCCTATATGATGAATATGTATATGCAAGGATATATAAACTAACACAAGATGATATATCCTATCAAAGAGATATACAATGTGATATATGTAAGGATATGCAAACACAAGGGTAAACAATCTAAACTAGATAGTGGGCAATATAATCAATAAGCAATATACAAAGGCGATATAAGATATGAACATAAAAGTAAGTGCGCCAATGCAATCACAAACAACCAATATGATTACGAAGTTCGGTCCCCACGACCTACGTCTCCGCTCCTCACCTCGAGGAGATCTCCACTATCACAACCGGGTTTTCTACGTTCACCCGAACAACGTTTACACCTCACAATACAATCACTATGCAATCACACCTTACACACTAAGTGTTGGTCCTAGCCCGTGTCCTCCTCCTCAAGTGCTCGGTTACAACCTTTCCCTAGGCACGTCAACCGACGCCACTCCTCTTGGATTCGACCCCGTCTCTCACCACACACTTCTCTCGGTGTACAAGTGTATTACAAGTGAATCCTCACAATTAGGCTCAATACAAAGTGTTTGTTCTCTACAATGAATGAGAACGAATTATAAGCTCACTCTCTAAGTTACACAATCTCACAACCCAATTATACTATGAATGTAAATACAATAAGCTCAATAGGTTGTGTGTGAACAAAGAGATAATAAAATCAACTAAACTCAATATGAACACTAGCTTAATAAAATGACAATCAAACAATATAAAATATAAAGCTAGATTGAGTTTAGAAAACTTCTCAATAGATCAAGAGTGGAAGGAGAAGAGTTGGATGCTCAAACACCAATAGATGATCTCCTCAAGCTCTTGTGGAAGTGATTCACAAAACCAAAACACTCAAATGCTTAAAAGCTTATAAACACACTTAAACCAAACATAAACCCTTGATTAAAACTTTCTTAAACTTGTTTTTAAAACTCTCTT